ATGCGGAGTGGAGTTTGTTGTCTATCTTGGTCTTTCCTTTCCCCCCTCACCCCCCCTCTGCGTATAGAACTCGGGGGTATTTATAGGGAAGTTTAGTGTTACCTGATGTGCCTGCCAGCAGGAGCAGGATCGTACCTCTGATGGCATCTGACATTGCTGTTGGCGTTGCGTGAAGAACCGAACTACCGCAGGGCATGGGCGTGCTTCGGTCGTCGTTTTCCTCTGCCTCGGCCAAGCGTGTTGGGTCAGGCAATGATGAAGTCGTTGTCTGAGAGCGGGTGACGTCAGCGCACATCGTGTCGACATTATTGCCTTCTTTGGGCAGAGTGTCATTCAGGCGTGGCTGACGTCGTAGCGCGTCATGTCGCCATTATTACCCTCATCACCTTCTATCACCAAAGGATTGGACCTAGCTTCCTCCACCTATGATGTCGTCGTCCGTAACTTCCTTTTGTGCGTAGTTCCTTCTGTTATTGTTGCTTTTGTGTGTCACTCCTTCTATCACCAAAGGATAAGACCTAGCTTCCTCGACTTATGACATCAACGTTCGCAGCTTTCTCCATTGTTGTTGCTGTTGTCCATCATGTTCTCCATCGCTACTATTGTCGTTTGAAGATTCCTTCGTCATCGTTGCCCTCTCATTCTCCACGTTCCATTATTGATAATTTTTTTTCTTTTTACTATTATGATTATTATTAAAAGTAGATTGTTAATCTTTAATTGATATTAAAATTACTATAAGTGTTAACTACTGAAATCGTATATTAATCTTTAGAACTATTATTGTATCTAGTAACCTTATTAGTCCTCCTTAGGTTGCCCTCAGTTTAAGTGGAGTGAATTATATTTGAACTTTCTTATTTCTTCTCTATATTTTTTTCTCAAATAAATCAATTATATATATAACACCTGTAAATTAGAGTGAACAAGATTAAAATTAACTTATAAAAATCTAATAAGTATATTATTATCAATTTTAGCTAAGCATCTTGATTAATAATTTGGATTCAATGAAGTTGATAGAATATATTATTATTATTATTTTATAAAATAAAAGAAATTTAAAATGATATAAACTTATACTAAGAAAAGATCGTAATTACTACTAATTACTATTGATAGTATGAGAAAAGGATAAAAAAATATTTTAATAGAATCTACAAATAAAAATTTAAATGCTTTTAGTTTGACTAAGAATATATTAGTATTGTTACCACTTTAAACGCAAATTTTGTGATTTTTTAATGAGATTTTTCTTCCTAAATTTTGTTCCTTAAGGCAGTCATTTTTATGCCTAAATGCGATGTAATTACTCTTGCACTATAAAACAACTTACTATACTTAACAAGCATATTAAACACCTAATAAATTTCACCCAAAAATATAGTAAATCTATTTAAGTTTTTGTTTCAGTTTATGATTTTCACTTTTGTAACAATAATAATATTCACATTTTGATGGATCAACAAAAAGGAAATGCTAATTGGGTCCATAAATTTGTATCCGGTCGGTCCGTTTTCTCGAATTCGATTCGAAAGCTTTGTGACTCGACCGGACCGGTACGATTTGGTTGTGAAGTTTGTATCGAGACCGACCGGTGGATCTATGCAACATTCCTTCGAGGCCAAGATATGTCTAAAAGAAACGGCGACTCGCGCAGAACCGGAAGATGACACCGTGATGACAACGTCGCCGACGCCGCTCGACCTCGACTCCCTTCTCCGATCCCACGGCGGCGACCTCTTCTCCTCCTCCAGCGACGACGACGACGATGGCGGCGGCGGCGACGCGGAGCTCCCCCCCGCCGTCCGCCGTCGCACCGTGGAGGAGATCCTTAATGACTCCGACTCCGACTCCGACTCAGACTCGGACTCTTCCTCCTTCCATCTCGCCAAGACGCCGGTTCTCGTCTCCAAAGCCCTGACCCTAACGCCCGAGCAAAAGCCCACGGAGGGAGCAGGCGTCGCGGAAGAAGTCGCGAGAAGGGTTCAAGAATCGGTTTCCGAAATCGCGGAAGAACCCTCGACCTCCTTCGATTGGAGACGGAGATCTCGCGAGCTCTCCGCTTCCGTCTCCCTCTCTTCCTTGGGGTTATGGAATGCTACTTCTTCTTCGTCGTCGTCTTCGTCTCGCCCGCTGCCATCTTTTTTTGGCGGCGTCAGGCCTAACCCTAAGCCAGGTGCTGCACTCGCGGCCGCGGCCGCTGCCTCCCGCGCCGTCCCGACGCCTCATGCTGTGGCCATCAAGAATAGTAGAGCCAGCATCGGCTCTGTCTGGAAAGATCTGGAGGAATCAGGAGGGGATGCGGTGGGGAGTGCCGGTTCCGAAGGATTGGATGGGTCAGAGCGCTCAGAAGTTACCGTCGTAAGTGAGAACTTGGAACCTGGAGGGGTTGAAGGGGAAGTCTTGGGGTCTTCAGTTGAAGCATCTGAGGATGTCCATGGCGATGATGAAGTATCGGAAGTGGGCCATGGTTCTGTCTCAGCTAATGAGATCGTGACTCCTGGGAAATTGGAAGAAGATGCCATGGATCTGGTGGAGACCGGTCAGGAACTGTCTGTTCATGTTATTCCTGATGAGAATGCGCCTAAGGGGGATGATGATTTGCTATTCACTGACGATGATGTTGTCCATGAAAACACGGTTGACACTAATAAAGAAGTGGAACCGGAAATGCCAGAAATGGAGAGAGAGGACATTGGTGAGGAGAATTCTCCTGATGAAGTAAGATCTACAAGAGAAGAAACCCAGGTTGTAAGCGATATAGATAGACTAATTGAGGAGAGATTAGTGCAGTTGGAGAACAGTAAGAAGGCTGAGAAGAAAGCGGAGAAAAAACTTCGAGCTTCTATGAAGCCTCTGGAATGGGCTGAGGAGCTGGAGAAGAGGCATGCATCCTCTGGCCTGCACTGGGAGGAAGGTGTGGCTGCACAGCCGATGAGGTTGGAGGGAATCCGAAGGGGACCACCTGCTGTTGGTTACTTGCAGATAGATATCGACAATGCGATAACTCGTGCCATTTCTTCACAATCATTCAAGCGTGACCATGGCTCCCCACAAGTGGTGGCTGTTCATATGAATTATATAGCTGTGGGCATGTCTAAAGGAGCTGTTATTGTTCTTACCAGCAAATATTCTACTCATCTTGTTGACAATATGGATTCCAAGGTTGGTTTGGGACTACTCGCTTGTTTGTTTTAATTATTTATAAGCCTGTACCCATTTGATTGAAATCATTTTCATCAAGTATCTGTGTTGTCATCATTTGGTTTCACGACATGATATTGGAATTCATTCTCTTAATGTATAGTACTACATTCTGGATGGAACTTGGAAGCATGTTTTATTTAATTTCGGTTCATCTAGTTCCCCAGTTATGTTGTTGGCAGTGATTAAGTTGCCTGTAGGTAAAAAATGACAGGAAGTTGTGATTCTTCTATTTCATATAGGCATTTAACAGACATTAGCATGGAACGGTGCACAGTAGTTTTGAGAACCACGAACTTTGCTTTTGGTAAAGGAGTTATTAGGCATGAATTGGACATGTTAAGGTTGATCCATTTTGATCTGGTTGTTCGAGTGTTTTAGTGACTGAACCTCTTTACTGTCAGATATAAGGCCACATACATTTACCATATCTAGATCCTGCATTTATGAAACCTCCGAACCGAATCACCCTTTTTCATGGGCATGAACTTTGAATACATAACCCATGAACTTGTTTATTCAACTGACTGAAAAATAGATTGAATCGAGTTGAACCAGGTGAATTATGATTGCATTGACTGGTTATGAAATCCCTGCTTTGCAAGCATGGCTTGCCTATCAAAAGACTCTTATGGACTGTGTGTTGTGTTATCAAAATCGTGGCAATCATTTAATCTGATCTTTTGGGTCTAGTACGTTAATTCTAATTTCTGCAACTAGTTAAATATACTGATACCAGAATTTATTTAATTTAAAAGAATTTAACATCATTTTTGTTCTGAAATATGTCTTCAGGAGGGAAGGAGATTAGGTCGAAAGATTCATGAAGTTGTATGTAAATTCTTTGTTTTAGTGTGAGATACAAAATGTAACCTGAGATTAAGATGATGAATAAGCTTTTAAAACTTTCTCAGGATATGGACTTGTATAATATGTTATAAACTTTTAAAATATATATTTTGAATTGTAAGGCATTCATGTTATCTTAAAGTGTTCCAATTGACGATCAGTGGAAAGAAAACAGTGTCTTGAAAAATTAGAAGGTACTTTTTGTAGATTTAGGGTATTACTTCTTTTGAATGATGTCTTTTTCTGCATAGACTTTCTTGTTTCTTCTATTGTTTGTGGTTCAACTGAGTATGTGCAAAATATAAGTGGGTGCTTCTGTCAGATGAAAGTACTAAAGCATGCTTAATTTTCAGATGCTAACTTTTGGTTCCCATGGTGAGAAATCTCAAACACCTGCAACGTCGATGTGCTTCAACCAGCAAGGTGATCTGCTTTTAGTAGGATATGGCGATGGTCATTTAACAGTTTGGGATGTGCAGAAAGCAATAGCAGCAAAAGTAATCACTGGAGAACATGCTGCACCAGTCGTCCATACATTGTTTTTGGGTCAAGATCCGCAAACCACTCGCCAGTTTAAAGCTGTTACTGGTGATTGCAAAGGGCTTGTTTTATTACACACAGTTTCAGTTGTTCCTTTGCTCAACCGTTTCTCTATCAAGACACAGGTAAATTAAAAAAAATCCTGATCTTTGTTCAGTATTGAGATTGATCATAATTTGATCACACAATCAACTTTGTCTTGTCAACAGTGTCTTCTTGATGGCCAAAAGACCGGCACTGTATTATGTGCTTGTCCTCTTTTAATGGATGATTTCCATGGATTTGTCAATCCATCTACTCAAGGGTACTCGGCAATGTCCTCCAATGGCCTTGGCAGCATGGTGGGAGGTGTTGTTGGAGGCGTAGTTGGAGGGGAGGCTGGATGGAAGCTCTTCAATGAAGGTTCTTCTTTGGTGGAAGAAGGTGTGGTCATATTTGTCACCCATCAAAATGCTTTGGTGGTATGGAATCTTCAGATAGATGTGGTCAAATGCTAGTGTTAGTCTTGCAGTTCAGATTGAGTTAAGTATGAATTCTGATGCTTGGTCTGGGTGGTGTTGCTGATTATTTTCAGGTAAGATTGAGTCCCAATGTAGAAGTATTTAATAAATTTCCTAGACCAGATGGTGTGCGCGAAGGGTCTATGCCCTATGCTGCATGGAAATGGACATCGGTTCATGACTCATCACCGGGTGAGGTTCTAAGGTTCTCTGAACAAATTTGCACTTATTTATGTACAAAGTAGTAATGTTCTTCTGACAGCCACATTACAACCTGCAGATTCATCTGATAAAGTTTCGTGGCTTGCAATCGCATGGGACCGAAGGGTCCAAGTGGCCAAGTTGGTTAAATCAGAGATGAAAAGGCACAAGGAGTGGAGTCTTGACAGCGCTGCTGTAGGTGTTGCATGGTTGGATGATCAGGTATCTAAAAGGTCTAACTCCAGCCTTGCTTCCCTTTTGATTTACATCCTCTTTTATATAAAGCATGCAATTTTATTTTCTCCAGATGTTAGTGGTTGTTACCCTGAGGGGACATCTTTGCTTGTTCTCCAAAGATGGAATTGAGCTTCACCGAACTAGCTTTATTGTAAGCGGTTTGGGAATTGATGATGTGATTACTTATAATACATATTTTTCTAACACTTTTGGGAATCCAGAGAAGGCATTTCACAATTCAATAGCAGTAAGGGGAGCCACAGTATATATACTAGGGCCAATGCATCTTATAGTTTCTCGTCTTCTTCCCTGGCGGGAGAGGATTCAAGTACTACAAAGGGCAGGTGATTGGATGGGTGCACTTGATATGTCAATGAGGCTTTATGATGGCAATGCCCATGGTGTAATTGATCTTCCAAGGACAGTGGATGCCATAAGGGAGGTCATAATGCCATTTCTTGTAGAGCTGATATTATCATATGTGGATGAGGTTTTCTCATATATTTCAGTTGCGTTTTGCAACCAAATTGAAAAGGTGGATCTAGTGGAAGGAATGAAGTCCGCAGACAGTACCCTGCTTGCCGAAATAGAGGGTCAATATGCCCGTGTCGGCGGTGTGGCTGTGGAATTTTGTGTGCACATAAAAAGGACTGACATCTTGTTTGACACAATCTTCTCCAAATTTGTTGCTGTTGAACATGGAGGTACATTCTGTCCTAATGAAGTATGTGCAACTGATGCCAGTGGCTATAGTATTCATGTTTCATTATTTTGTGTTAAAATGTAACTGTTTCAATGGTTCTTAATTGATTATATATGCCTGGAATACTTTTAGAACTTTGTGATAATCTAGATTTTTAAATTTTGGGCAGTTTATCCTTTGGGCTCATGGAAGAAGTAGCTGATATTTATTAGATTTAATGGCATCACTAAGATGGATGAACTTCCAAGTCCTGAATGTTCCTTACTTGTAGGGTCGATATTGCTGTTGATGAAGTACACAACGCCCAACGGCATTGTTTGTGCCATAGGGGCCCACAAGATATTGTCCACTTTAGGCTATGACCTGCACAGTTTTATCCTTTAGAATCTATCTGTTCCATGACGTGCCTTGAGAAGAAGAGCTTAGTCTCTTATGAGGCCTATGGCTCTCTAAGTTCTAACATCACATTTTGGGATGGATCCCATACAAAACTGAATAGGCTATAGTTCAGTTGATGCTATCTTGTGGGCCCCTTGGCCTGGCAAAGATGTGCTTCATCAACTTTCTCAACATTATGGTGCTTTTTGCAGTGTTATATTCATCTTTGTGTATTAAGAGCCTGTATATAGGTTTGTTTGGGCTCATGGATGGGCACATAATCAGTATTCATTTATTCTAATGGTATGAGCATAAAATTAATAAAAAATCTTTATCATTCTTAAGGTTGGTTCTTTATCAATATTTTAATATGTTGTTCTGATCTGTTGGTGTTAATTACTGCTTGCAGTTATCTAGGATGTTGCTATTTATGTGATTCATTTATGTTATTGTGCATACCTTCTATTATGCTGATTGTAACAAGGCTCTTTAGAAGCAAATGGGTTCTAGAAAATCACTAGTTAAGGTACTTGTTTTTGATTTGGAGATTTCTTCCCAGTTGATAACATTAGATCAACATAGTGTTGACATCATCATATTTGAAATCATTAATTTGTCAACCAAGATAGTGATTTTGCAGATAGAAATTATACATTGGTAAATAACACATGATCAGAAATATACAAGTTTGAATGTGGAATAAGAGGAGAAATGCAATATGTACCTTACTGTTTGATTTGTGGTTCTTCTAAGTACTTGTCATGCTGGAAGTGGCCATCTGAGAAATTCTTTGATTTTGGAGGGATACATTTGTTCTATGATGAAATCCTGTGGAAGTCATTCTATCCACTAAAAAAAAATCTTCATGTCGTTGGCCTTGAAAGGAAATATATTATTAAGCTGTTATGTGTCTAATAGGTCAAAGACATCAATCATTTGTTCTTTGGGATGCAAGGACTCGCCAGAGGTGTGGTCTTCATTGTATCAAATGCAAATTTTAGGACTAAGTTGGAGTTAGTGTTAATAGTCTAATGACATCCTATATAATACGCATCTGCCATTTTCACTTGTCAGGTATCATGATTGTTTGGTTCTTTGGTGCACCATGTGCATGTGCTCAGTTCTTACTAAGTCTAGGTCAATATGTGTCTAAACTTGTACTTTTGTTAATTTTGTATCCTCATGTTGTGCCTTGTTCGTCTACATATATTTACAAATTTGTTTGGAGTAAATAAATCATATGACCTGAATGAGATGACATTCTGTTGAAGTTTTGGACAACTTTTTCATTGAAAGAGTCAGTTTTTAGTTAAAATGCCAGCATTTAAGATCGATATTTTCAACATTAAGATACCATTGTCTAGTGTTTGATCCAGTTAACCTTATTTTCCTTCTGTGACAGGCACATTTTTGGAAATTTTAGAGCCATACATTCTAAAAGATGTGCTTGGGTCTTTACCTCCAGAGGTATTTCTGACTGTGTATCCTCTTTTCTGAGTACTGATTACTTTCATATTCCATAACTATTATAAATAGAAACTTTATACTGAAGATAATTTTCTCAAAAACTTGCAGATTATGCAAGCCTTGGTAGAGCATTATAGTAGCAGAGGATGGCTGCAACGAGTTGAACAATGTGTTCTTCACATGGATATTTCCTCTTTGGATTTTAATCAAGTAACTTAATTTGAGAAATTTAATGAGTCATTTATCTTGAAATTTGTAGTTCTTCACTGAGAAATGTTTTTCTTATTTTTCAGTTATTTTGATTTTGAACTGGAGGTCAATGCCCTATTGTTCATGCAGGTAGTTCGGTTATGCCGTGAACATGGTCTGTATGGCGCACTGATATATCTTTTCAATCGAGGTCTAGATGACTACAAGACACCATTAGAAGAACTTTTAGTTGTTGTACAAGATACTTCAAGGGGAGATGCTGCATCTGTCGGGTACATTCTGCTGTTGCCTGGACAAAATTTCCCTGAGCCCTATAAATTTCATTTGTTTGATTTCTCTCTGCTATGTTTTTTAGTATGGTCTCAGAATTGAGGACTGGAATTGAATTAAGATTGGAGTAATAAAATTTGCTGTTAGTTGACTTACATTTAGTCATGGAAATAACCTCCTGCTCTCGTTGACTCTCCCAATGAACAGAGCCTTGTGCAATGGGCTGAAATTTTCTGTTAGAAACCTCCAATAGGGTTAAGATCTTCCAGATCAGATGGTACTGGTTGTGGTTTTGGATCTTTTAGAAATAATTGTATATATATGAAAACTGGTCATAACAGTTAGTAAATAGACAAGTCAGTAAAAATATCTCTTCTCATTTTTTGTCCTCTCCTTTTCTAATTTTTTTACTCCATTTCTACTTTTTTCTCTTTTGGCTCACTGTCAGCTGGTCCTAGGTGACCTTTTTGTTCTCTCAAATTCTTCTCGCTCTCCTCCATGAGATGCCTATGTTCAATCTTCGCTAGTATCAGAATGAGGATGTGAGTGACATTCTGAACCCAAAAATCGTGTTGTACAAGACCCTGAAATGAAGTACTAGAAAGTGTTCTTTGAAATTAATTAATGACTGTGTACTATCTCAAGCTATAACACACATTCAATGTAGTACTGCTATTGTTATCACAATCTACTCATTTAAACACTTGACATTCTCGGTAGATCCATATATGTAACACACATCACTCAGAGTCCTGTATATGATGTGGGCTCCTGAGGCAACATGGTCTACTTTGTCATCATCATTGTCTACCATATTTTCTTTCACTGAACTAGAAATCTGTTCCTATGCAAAATTGGGTCCCAGTTGATGGCACATTGGGATTGGTTGCTTGAATATCATGTCTATCACAGCATGAACCTGAAAACTATGGGTGATCCCCAATGAAGGTGTCACGTCTTGGCCCAATAGGATAACTAATCAACTTAGTTGATGAGCCTGGACTAAAAATTCTAAAATCCAAGTTAATAGTAGTCACTTAGTTTTTTTTTAACTCTTATAAACCTATTCTTCTCCCGCTTTTGATATGGACTAAAATGAGTGTTATGATCTTATCCACTTCAGGGTTTGACTTAAATATAACCTCGAGTCAAACCTTAGCATGTGACATGAGAGGTCTGACTTTAAATTTTAATATGCTTTCAACTTTGTCCATGGGTAATCCTTTTCTGCTCAAGCTTCTCATAATGCCTAATGCTAGATTGTTTATGATATTATTTGTCGTGACCTGGTCCGATAGGATAACTGAACCATTGACTTGATGAGTCTGGACCTAAGCCCTCATAAGCCAATTCAAGTCTTCTCCCATTTTTTGATGATAGACTAAACTGGGGGTATTATAAAAGGTGGTTATTGACTCGTATACTGTCTCAAGCCATATCCCACATTCAGTGTGGGACTATTATAGGATATCACAACAAGGGAGGCTTGGTGTACAGAAAGCCTTGTTCATGACTTCTTACGATTGAATATCATTCCTGTTGATTATGTTGTAACTTTCAGTACATCGTTTCTGAAGTTGGTCTGAGAATGTGGCTGTTCGCCTGTGCATCTCTTTGGTTATGCATATTAGAATACATTGCTAAGTCATGTGGTGACTGGAAAAATCATTCTTCTGTACAAGCTTTCTTGCCAGGGCCTAGTATTTGACTTACATGGATTGGGGTATTTATTATTCCCTCATGAATTGAGTTCAGCATGGAACCCAGATACTTGATGCAAGTTACACAAATGTTCTACATTGGACACTAAAGTGCAATTGGCACCATCTCTTAATTGCTGGATTTTTTTAATCCTGAAACATAACTTTTTGAGGGTTCTATTTTCAACTCTAAGCCCCTACATATGATGTTTACAAATAAGTCCTTTGAATAATTTATTGAACCCTTCAAATAGCATATGATCATTGTCAGATGAACCAATGGATACTTATCTATAGATCAACACTTTTTTTTGCTGTTTTTTAATTCTTAAGCCTTTGTTTCAATTATTAATACTTGAATTATTAAGTGTTCTTTAGATGCCTTATATATTTGATGGAATTCCGTGCTTCTTCTCTTTTTTTCATGTGTTTACTTGTTGCATATGATTAATTTCTCAATTAATTTCATGGTTTTCATCATTGCCCAAACCAATGGAGGACTAAATTCTTATATTTCTTATATTCATAAGATATTTTTCTTTTCATATATAATTCGTTTTTATAATCTGTCCATAAGTTTAATTGATTTGCAAATCTGTAAATAAAAAACAAGTAAATTTCTTTTTCTTTCACTGATTAGTAAAAAAGTTCAAGAACATCCAAGTGGATTATTTTATTTTCAAATTGTGGAATAAATTTCTATATGAGCCTTTGGTTTAACCATTGAATAAATAGGCAGAGGATCTTATTTCAAGAGCCAACAGCTAAAATTTTATCTTGAATTATTGTGCTTACTAATCCATCAAAAAATTAAATATTTTCTTTTGTATCTAAAACTCTTTACTTGTATCCTTTTTTAAATTATAGGTTATAAGTACACCTGCATTACATGTATAAAATGATCTGGTTATTTTTCAGTTGTCTTATAAATTATATCTATTCATGCCCATTATTTTTACTAATCTTGAGTTATTTTGCTTACTAATCCATTAAATATTTGTTTTTATTTAAAATTCAATATTATATCTTATTTTTAAATTATAGTTTATTAAATTCATGCCCATTATTTGTGAAATATGATCTGGTTATTCTGTAGATGTTTTAGCCTTTGTATTTATTTGCTTGATTGCAAGGGTAGTTGAAGTTGATGTTTCATTTAATATATCTGATTGATGTGATTATTAACTATGTTATATCGCTTTTTTATGAATTATACTGATTTCTGTTTTAGTTGGTTTATTAATTTTTATTTCTAACTACAGCTTATTATGATTCATGTAAGCAGGTACAGGATGCTTGTTTATCTTAAGTATTGCTTTCAAGGTTTAGCGTTTCCTCCTGGTATGTTTTTTGTTCATTCTGTGACATGATATAAGGCAAAAGTGATGTTAATGAAAATTTGACTTTTAACCACTCTAATGTGTTGGACAAGAGGGGAAGCTTGGTGTTACATATTAGTGAGAGCCTCATGTACTGGGCTGCCTTTTGTTTTTTGTGATATGCTGTGTGGCACATCGCGGAACATGGACACTTTTTAATTTACTGTTTGCTGGGAGAAAGTATGGGATGTTGTGGCATGATCTGCTGATCAACACATTACAACTACCATAATGATCTTGTGTGTCCAGACGCTCAAGTGCTGCTTAGTTGAATCCTACTTTTCCATAAAAAAATCAAATTTAATTAAAAGATTTTGCAGCGTTGTTCTTGATTTATAACCCAGATAAATGCTGTAATCTCCTCTGGAATCTCTTCCAATGGCACGTGTTACATCACTTCTTTCAATTTTCACCATGATTTGTTAGTCGCATTCTTTAGTGATGTTATCACAGTATCTAATTGGCTTTTTTGTCATATTCTTGTTTGGTCCTTTGCAGCTTCATCTTGCTTCTCTTTTTTCTTCCTAGTTGTGAAAATAACCATTTTTTGGTACCTTTTATTTTGTATTTAAAGAAGAAACTTTGGTTACAGGTCATGGTACTCTTCCATCTTCAAGTTTGCAATCAGTTAGAGTAGAATTATTGCAGTTTTTGCTAGAGGATTCTAAAAATTCGAACTCTGAAGTCTTAAAAAGTTTCAAGGCATCCTGTGGTCTTTGCCCAAATCTGTGCTATCTCCTTTGGTTGGACACTGAATCTACTCTAGAAGTCCTGCAATGTGCTTTTGCGGAAGAGGGGCATAAACAGATGGATGAGTCTGTACAATGTAAAAGTGAATCCAATGTTGAACATGAAAAAGAAGATGATTTTCAGAGCTTGGAAAATCAGGATGCAATTGTACAGAACATTGTGGACAAACTTATAAATATTCTTGATTTGGAATCAGAGGTGATAAAATCATTTGTGATGGAGCACAGTGTGGATGTATGGCCATCGAAGAAGGATTTATCTCAATTGCTTCTGTTCATCGCATTTCTTGTTTCCTATAAGCAAGCTACTATTTCTGGGAGGGTGCTAAAGCATATTCTTCAATATTTGACCTCACACGATCTGGCATCATATGACCCAAATAATGAAGCTGAAGCTTCTCAAAGAGAGAAACAAGTGCTCACTCTTCTGAAAATTGTTCCTCAGGCAGATTGGAACCCTGATGATCTCATTTGTCTTTGCGTGGATGCCCATTTTTATCAGGTAGTTTGTATGCTCTAACTATTAATATTTACACTTTTTTCATTTACATGTTTTTTCATCCAGTACCACAAATATTCTGGATATTTTCATTGACATGTTTCATCTTCATTCAATAGGCTTGTGGTTTGATACATGAGATCAGAGGCCAATATATTGATGCTTTAGATAATTACATGAAGGATCTGGATGAACCTATCCATGCCTTTGCTTTCATCAACAAGATTCTGTTGCAGTTGAAAAATAATGAAGCTTCTTGTTTTGAGACAGCGGTAATTTTGCGAATTCCAGAATTAGTCAAGCTAAGCAGGTAAAGCTGCAGGTAACACTAAATGGTGTTGATTATTCAAGAAACAATAATGCATATGTTGTATCTCATCCCTTTCCATTTTGCACTTGTTGCTTATGTTCTGAAACATTGTTCTGGTGGCAGGGAATGCACCTTTTTCTTGGTTATTGACCAATTTAGTAGCCAGTGTCAGCATATCCTATCAGAACTTCGATCTCATCCGCAAAGCCTATTCCTTTTCTTAAAAACTACCATTGATGTTCACTTGTCAGGAAATCTCAGCTTTCCTGTGCTTGAGACTGTTCAAGGCTCAAATGGTTCGTTTGGGAAAATCAGAGATACACCAAATGATCTTGAAGAATATGCCAAAAGACTATCAAGTTTTCCCAAGCTTTTGCATCATAACCCGATCCATGTAACTGATGAGTTGACAGAGTTGTACTTAGTGGTAAGATTTTAAATTGTCAAATAAGCTTGATAAAGCTGCAAGGAACATGTGAAATTCTTCCTTAGACATGCATTGCATGTTTGTCATTGATAAGTATTCTTACTCTTTTATTTGTTACAACTCATTTATATTATTAGTTTTACTAATTTTTGGCTTGTGTTTTATTTGATATCTATACCTACAAACTGGGGTATGAATAATACACTCACTCGATTTCCTTTTTCTGGAGGGGAAAACCTTGGATGTGTGATTTTGTCATCATAGCATCTAGTTAGCTAGCTACATGGTTTGTCCAGTTTGTGGTCAACAGTGTGTCTATCAGCTAGAATACTTGAATGTTGGTTGGTGCAAGTCCAGTTTGTGGCATGACATGGTTTGTGGTCAACTAGTTTTTGGCTACTCAAAGCTGATATTATCTTAATTTAAGTTTAGTTAAAATCTTAGTGTAATTCTTATGATCTGTTATATAAATGCTCAAAAACCCTTGAAATATTACATGTCTCTTTATTTTATACCATCTGCATTTCCTCTTTGATGGATTCAGCAGTGTTATAAGTTGATCTGTAACAATTTAATTGTTATTGTAACTTGTAAGTGTCAAGCAATTTGATAGTTAACACACAATTTCCCCTACATAGGAATCAATTTTTAAAGAAATTATTTTCAGGCAATTATATCCTTAGTTTCATCTCTTTGGTTCTTTTTAGTGTTCTGTGGTAATTTTCTTTTTCTCGTGCATGCTTGTCTGTACTTGTGTTTGTCTTCATCTTGTATTGTTCTAATCATCAATAATCAAGTCCCATTCTTATCATCTTATTCTATTTCCTTCATGTAGCTTTTGTGCCAGTTTGAACGCAGCTCAGTCTTGAAGTTCTTAGAGACTTTTGATAATTATAGACTGGAGCAGTGTCTACGTATTTGTCAAGAACATGGTGTTACAGATGCTGCTGCATTTTTGCTAGAAAGAGTTGGTGATGTTAGTAGTGCTCTAATACTTATGTTGACTGGGCTGAAGGAAAAGATCGAATTGCTTGTCGATGCTGTGGAAAGAATACATCCTCAGATGGTGTCAAGTAATTCGTTTGGGTTGGAGCAGCTTGAAGACATTTTAAAACTTAAAGAGGTTTATAAACCAATAATTTTGTTTATGGAACTACAGTTTTCTTCCTAATAATTGACACTGTTGTTTCTGAATTTGTTGCTCTGTTCAGGTTGTTTCTGTCCATGATGTATTGCATGCCTCCATTAGCTTATGCGAAAGAAATACTCGACGTTTAGACCCAGTGGAGTCTGAATCACTTTGGTTTCGGTTGCTTGACTTGTAAGACATGATCAATCTGAGATCTTATCAAATTATACACTACATTTAATTAATAGTAGTACTTTTATTTTAATAAATCATGATATATTGCAATATTAAGCACATGATCTTTTTTAATGTGATATCTTGGCATGCATAGTGTTCTTTGAATACTTCTCTGATTTTTTTAATACTTTGCAATTTGCATAAGTTTTCTTTTATTGTTTTATTATAACAACATCCTATATTCTATCTTTTCCTTTGTTTCATAGATAGCTTGTTATTGCCTGCAAAACTTATTATTGCAGATTAAGCTTTCTAAGTGCTTTAACAAGTATGAGAAAATATATGATATGACAGCGTTTGAATCAGCAAAAGTCTTGAGGAATGCATATGAGCACTTTAAGCTCATTTAAGAATTATGATTGACCATAAAAAATTAAGATGCCAGAATCTGTTTGTTAAGCAATGCAACAACTATTCAACTATGTAAACAACTCAGACTAACAGCGAGTAACTGAATATGCTGGAAACATATTAGAGTTAGTGGAAATTTACAACTAATTCCAATTGAACTAACCAGATATATTACCTGAAAGGACTCTAGGATGAATTATGGTACAAGACTAATAGAGCTTTCTATCTGTATAAATCTGAATTCACTTTGGTTCTATATTAATGTATTAATAAGCAATAAGATTCCAACTATTTGGGATCGATTGCATGTGTCTTTTCCAGCTATTTAACTCTATTGGTAAATATAATTTCAAAGTGAGCTACTGTTGGACATTATGATGTGCCACATACAACAGTGTTTGTCCAGGCTTATTGGTCTGTCATTGGTTCTCTGTGTTGCCTAATTGTTAATTTTTTGCTGATTTCTCATTGATGCCTTTTTTTCGTTAAGAAATGAGAAAGGAACTTCTGTAATAACTCAATCAACAATCTAGTATATTGATGTAGTAGTCTCATGTCTCTCAAGTTTGGTTAATATCTGCAGTTGTTTTTACCTTACCTTTAATGATTATTTTGTCTATGAACCACACTCAGCTTTTTCCAGAACAATTGAAGTCATAACTCATGCTCTAGGCTGTACTCTGTTCCAGAATGGATGTTTGTCTCGTCAATATAGGTTTGAACAGATAATGTCTTTGCTTACACAAGTTAGCTAAAGACAGGCAAAAGATCCTAACTATGCCCACCATTGAACAGCAGTCAACCAGACTCCAATTTTTTTTTTTTTTAAGGAGAGTTAATAAGGTTGGAAGTTTTGGCTGGTAGAGTTCTGCTGAGCTGTGTTGTGCCATTTCTGGCTATGCATCTTTTGGCCTATTTTCTTGGGTATACATTTCTTTTAGCATGTCCATTCAAAATTTATAAATTGATATAATAAGAACTTAAGTGAACCAAAATTTCTTGCTTGAATTCATTTGATAGGGATGATATACATGTGCAATCTAATCAAGATTTGAAGCACTGAACTGTTTACCACGCCACTTAATTTGAGGACAGAACTTGAGTTGCTAGTACAAAAACTTGTTCTGTCCCATCTTTGGATTAGTTACAAGCACCTAAATGTTCTATAACATAAAAGTTCGGAGTTCTATTTTGATATGAATGTCATGTATCTATTGATTATTCTGGTACTGTCATTGTGTAACACTCCTATACCTACAACAGAATTACTTGAGTGCTATTGCAGCTCCTGCCCTCATAATATAATGTCGTCTGGTATGAAATTGTTGAAGAGTTTGAAGGACACAATCACACTTCTCTTTCTGTTAGTGACTCTAATATTGTTGTTCTACTAGCTGACTTTTTTAAGTTTTGTTCCAGCTTCTCGGAGCCATTGAAGTGGTTGTTTGCCAGCAAAGAAGTTTCTATGAAACAAAGTCATCAGAATGCTGAGCCAGCAAATGTGGTAGAAACTATGTCTAAAGTTTCACACAAGAAATGTGCTACTATTTTGAGAAAACTGTTCTCACAATTTGTTGGGGAGTTAATCGAGGGAATGTCTGAATATATTCCGCTTCCAGTAGTTATGGCCAAGCTTCTTTCTGACAATGGCAATCGAGAGTTTGGCGATTTTAAGTTGACGATACTGCGAATGCTTGGAACTTATGGCTATGAGAGAAGAATTCTGGTATGTCTATATGGAGGAACATACGTTACTTTCTTCTGAACTTATGTTAACATTACCACTATGGAGCTGGTGTTCTACAGCATATTCAACTAAAATTCCCATGCCCTAGCATCAATTCTGGCATGGCACCGATTGTTTCTTTTTAAAATCACTTTTGTGCCATGTTCATTATCTGCTATTTTGGCTAATACTTAGGCTTCCAACACATAAGCTCTTTGAAGATCCTTGTTACTAGTCAATATAAGTGCCATCAGATCTCTAGAATTGTTTCAAGTAAATTCTTATTTCCACCTCCTTGTGCCACAAATTAATGATCCATTAGTATGTCTCCCTTGGACATGTCCAAGACATCTTAAACGGTTCTTTGTTTCTCAACTGGAACTTGCCCATATTCTTTGTGGTTCATTGTAATATTTTTTGCACAAAAATCAGAGTGATGAAGAATCTTCTCTATTAATTACATTATAGCATTTATCTGGATTTTCTTAGATAATTGGGAGCACGAACCATCTGCTATTAAAGTAGCTTATTTCTTCATGTTTTGTTCGACTACTTTTAGCTCATTATCTTGTCATTTTGTTTCATAGGAAATTCTTTTGTTCTTGTTACGTATTTATTTATGTTCCCTATTTTTTTGCTGTTGTTGCATTATGAAATCATCTGTTACAAATTTTTTCATCCTATGTTTTTCTTTTTCAGGGCACGGCTAAATCACTAATTGAAGATGATACATTTTATAGCTTAAGCTTGCTAAGAAAAGGCGCCTCTCATGCCTATGCCCTTCAAGATTTCATTTGTTGCATTTGTGGTTGCTCACTTACCAAGGGATCTGCTTATGGAATTAGAGTTTTCAGCTGTGGTCACTCAACCCATCTCCAATGTGAATTTGAGGAGAGCAGAAAAGATCCTTTAGTTGGATGCCCAGTTTGCCTACCCAAGAGAAATGCACATGCACAAAGTAAGTCATTTTTTGTGGAGAATAGCTTGATAAAAACCTCTACATCAAGCTCTCGACTATCAGAAGGCTTCCATAATACTCAACATATGCATGAATCAGATACCACCGAGAAGCCTTATGGCCTTCAGCAAATATCTCGGGTAGTGCTTCTGTGTGAAACTTTGTTAATAAACATGAAATCTTCTAACTTCATTTTGCGAGCATTATTAGGTTTGCCTGTTGGACTTTGTTATTGCAGTTTGAGATTCTGAGTGATCTCCAGAAAACCGACAAGTACCTTGGAACGGATACCATTCCTCAATTAAGACTTGCCCCTCCAGCTATTTACCATGAAAAAATCCAGCAGAGACCTGGTTCTTTGATAGGAGAACCAAGTGACAGCTCACTCAAAAATGAAAAGCCAAATAAACGATGGCAACTTAAGGAGCTAAAATCAAGGGGTTCGCTGAACATGTTCCCCTTGAAGTCGAACATATTTGGTAAGTCTCTTTTTTCTCTAATAACTTTGTTGCAGCAACTGCACACTTTTGTTAATGTTCTGTCGGCATTTTGCAGGTCATGAGAAAAATAAAGTGCGGTAGTATGTCATGGGTCTTCTCTGTTGTAAGTAATGACCGACATTCCTTTTTTTTGGGTCATAACAATCACTATAGATATTTTTTTTACTGGTTATTTATGTTTGAAAAACGTGATAATGGCACAGATCCTTCTGAATGTAATTGTCCTAGTATCTTAGTCAGAAAATTTTGAGAAAGTATTAATATGTTTATAATTGTCCTACTTTTATTGCTTATAATTTTATGCTAGAGTTTTACCCTCCAAAATATACATGTTCGTACTCTGCCTCGGAACTAATCTAATCTATTGTGATCTTATGGGTACTTTTGGTTTGGGTCCTTTTTTTCCCCCTTACGAAGCTCTCTGTGGGATTTTCTTGGTTGCACAAATATGCAAGTTATGTACAGAATCGCTTCTTGTGGTTTATTATTTATCGGCAGAGGGTATAGTTAGTATTATTGATCTGCCTTTTGTATAAAATCGTGTACTTCAACACTCTCTGTAGGTCCTGCCGGGAGACATGGATGTAGTATTCTTAGATGCCGTGGTTCCTTTCATGGAAATTACCTGCATATGATGTTTAAGCTCCAACATATCTGAAAAGGTTTCACGAAACTGTACTCACAGGCCGATGTGAAGAGGTTCGAAACTTTGTCGGGTGTTAACGATACAATGGGTGCAACCTTGTGGGCACACAGTTGCATCGGTGGTCCTCCTCTTCCTGAGAAATCTTCATGGCACAAAGGCCCCGCTGTGTCGCCCTCGTAAGCAGTATGCCTGCCTTTTTTTATCTTTGTTGTTGTATTGTCTAATGCCAGACTATATGGTCAGAAGTCGACTGTCACGCATTTCGTTACTTTGACTGGGGGCACCATTGCACTCACATGTGACCTCTGATATAGTTGATTCTGTAAGTCGGTTAGTTATCAAAAATTAGAATAAAAAAAAATACTGAAGTGAAAAAACAAAAATAAAAAAAATAAAAAAATAATTTTAATGTTCAATGATAGATGACGTTGATAGCGATGGACGACGACATTGTTGGCGTTGATGTCAATGCAATTATGTGATCACCTTTGACGACGATAATATTCGCTCTCACCATAATGTCATCCACCTCCACAAGGAGTACACTACTGACCTTATCATTGACCTAATTGCTCAAATGGTCTCTTGCATGATGGACATTACCCTTTATGGTGCGACGTCAAACACTAACCAAAGTTCATCCACGTCGACATTGTGCGGGAGGCCATTAGAGCAAAGAGCGAGTGTGAATGAGTCGAGGGAGGCAGCAAAATGGAGAGTTTTGAGTGAGAGCGGATTGAGATAGAGAAGGGAAGGAGGGGATGACTAAAGGCATCCTTAGCTACAATAGGATGAGAGGGATTTGAGGATTCCAATACGCTATTCCTAGAAGAATGGGAACAGAAAGGTGCGAGAGAATGGGCCACAACCACCACCATCTACGTCGGCATAGGATGAGCCACAATAAGATCGATAATGTGCTTCTCGTGGAGCTGGATGGTGTTACACCGAGAACAAACCTTATTGTCATCGAAGGCGACAAGATAATTGTGTTGCCATCGACGCTAGCTACGTCGCCATCCATCACCATCGACGTTGTCCGCCATCAAATATTAAAATTATCTTTTTATTTTTTATTTTTATATTTTTATATAAAATTAACATCGTTAATGTAAATAGATCTATATGTTTTACTTTCGTAGCTACATGGATACCAATATATTTTTTTAAAATATAAAAATCGAAATATTAAATATATCTAATTATCGAGGATAATCTATAATTAACCCTTATTATCTTCCTTCAAGTTGACCTACACTACGTCCTGCAAAATTTCCTATATGAGACACCATATTTAAAGGATTTCTGACAATAATAAATCAAGCATTCTTCAACAACTAATTGCAATAATGGCATGCTTAGAACAAATTATCCTTCCCTGTAAAGTCAGCGAACAAGACCTTCACAATCGTTTCATTCCATAAGCAGGAACATCGAAAAGATATATGATCGTCATAATCGATACGCCCTTTTAGGGCATAATCAGGGTTAGCCACGAAATCCAGGCCAATAGTGATGGGGGCGAAGAAAACTCTCGATCAAGAACGAAAGGAAAAGAACACAACTCACGATCATTGATTAGCAAACGAGATCAAGAACCGACCCCCCCCTCCCCCCAACTGGAACAGACGATCGGAGGATTAAAGAAAGAAGGCAAGAAAACGAGGAGGGTTCGACGGGCGGCGAAGGCTTCACCCTTCCGGGTGCCGATCTCTAGCTGTCCCCCTTTCTTGGATGCCCTCGTCGGACGCAGCGGCGTACGCAGCCTACGTCGACGGTTGAGAAGAGGAAGAGCGGAAGAACCCGTCGCAGGTGTTTCCCGCCGGTCGAAAAAGGTTGTATAGTAAGAGGTCAGTTTTCCTCATCAGTCCCGTATGATTGGCTTCTAACACGGCATTAGAGTATGCACACTAAAAATTTAGGCTGTTAAGATGAGACCTCCACTAATCAATCCTCATTAGATTTCAAGTTACTAATGTCATGGACAATTTCATATTTGGGCCTCAAGCAAAGCCCAAATCGTTGTCATGTTTAATTGGGCCTCAAGATTAAACCCAGCCCAATTTATAAAATCTACCTTTAAAATATTAACATGGAATTCACCTATCACTTAAATGATTTTTTTTATTAATTCAAGGAACTAAGTTGATTCTAATAACTAATATTGCATGAATATATATTTATATGTAAATTACTGATTTAATTTGAAAATAAATTATCAATTGTGTTGTGGTACATAATTGATTAAGTCCTCTACAAATGGAATATATATGTTTTCAAATCTTAATTTATTAAATCTCCAAATTTTATTGAAAAATATAAAACAATCTCAAATTTATTTATATTATCAAAGTTGAGTACACACTTAAATTATTTATCTCATCGAGTCAAGTTATGACAAGTGGTTTTATATTTAACCAACCCGGATGATAGGAGATATAAAGATCCAAAATTTAGACCCTCATATCATAAGTGGCTAGAGACTTATTAAACTATAAGAATTCGTAAATGTATTATCGCTAACTTGAGCTTAAATGTTATCTGCCAATCAATTATTTGATTATGGTCGGATCATATTATTTTATATTTTATCGATATGATATACAATCAATTCAACGTAAGTGAATAACGTAAGTTAATAACGATAAAAGATAAGATTTTTTTAACTATACGAGAAAATCTCTTTATTTTGTTGAAAAAAATTCTTTATTCGAAATCCTTCCCTCTAATATGTATAAATAGGATAGCCCACGTCTTGCAAATTAACATGACCTGAAAATAATGATGAAATGAGGTTTATTCGAATAATTGGTTGGATTTTGTGTCCCAAAGCGTCAACTTATTGCTGCTTGTTGGTGTTTGCGTGTGAAAGACACTCAGACTTTGGAGGCACAATGGTTGTCCATTTTCCGAAGGAAATGTTGGGTGTGACCTCTTCTTCTCTTCGTCTGTACTTTGTCTTCTTCTGCAGCTTTATTCCTTTCATACGCTGCACGAGAATGGTAGCTGATTCCAGAAAGCATAGGCTTCAACCAATCAAAATGGTTGCCTACAGCCTTTTTATCCGATGTGAAAGGCCTAAAATGATGGAGTTCTTTAACTTATATGCTGAATAGAAAACTGATGGGAGAGTCCACAGGTAGTCAGGGAAAATATCACATTCTAACTTCAGTAAAGAAACGTAAGGCTGATCGGTGCAAGCTCGATGTGAATGGAACGTTTTGGATTTATACTCAGATCAAACAAATAAAAATATATATATTTTTTCTGAATGAAATTGCTGGTGCAGTGAGCTGATGATAGCAGGAGAAGGTATTGGGTATGCTTTGGGTGAAGATGGACAAAAGATAGATGATATTGAATATGATGCTGAATTGCTTACTGAAGTATTAAAGAAAGAGGAGCAATTGGATCATATTAAATGGATTAGATATGCGAAGAAGGGAATAGAAGAGTCCATCGATCAGTGATGTTCGATTGAAATATGAAGTCATAGAGAGTTTGGAGGAATGACTATAGCCTCCAGTTTTGTACTCTATTTTATACTAAAATAATACAACTTTCTTCTTTTTGAAAGAAAAAGACAGCATTATGTAAATTTATATTTACAAAATAACTTCTTGTTTGATTATAAAGTAGGATTACGCTAAGTGTTTTCAATTAAAGATATCATACCAATTCAACAAGAGGAGAATTATTTACAAAAGATAATCAATATATAGTTTTGAATTATATCTCTATATTATATATATATATATATATAGTAAAAAAATATTTTGCTTGCTTTATCTCTTCTTTTTCTTTCTCTTTTATTTAGTAGAGAGAGAGAGAGAGAGAGAGAGAGAGAGAGAGAGAGAGA